AAGCTGGAAAAATTCAAGCTTCCCTCCCTCGGGTTCCAACAGCAAATTTCCAACAAGTTTCTTCAAGTTTTTCATCCAAAGTCACCAACTTTTTCACTAGATTCAAATATAACATATACAATACATCATGCAAAGCAAGATATAAGACATATAGTAGAAATTCCAAGTAAATTTTTTTGCAAAATTCGAATGAAAAAGCTGTGAAACTAAGCTCGCTTCCTCTCGACCAAGCTGGAAATTTTCAGCAAGAAATCAGTTTTCAAGTAAGGTTTTTGTGACGCCCCCACTTCTCCCTAAGGTGAACCAAAGGGTATCTGCGGAACGCCTACCCAACTCTCGCCAGGACTCAAAACAATTCGATTCACGCTTAACGGTACACAACAATTAATACAAGCCTAATAAGGAAAAGTCGTTTCCATAAACGAATATCAAAGTCTTACACCACGAGTTCAACATACATCAGTTGTCCAATTCTTACATCAGGTTCCCAAAAGACACATCAATTCCCAAGATATACAACAGCCGAGAGTCTAGTAATTTCCATTTAAAACCCAAATACAAAAGTACATCCCAAGGGTTTCTTCGAGTTTCACTCCAAGTCCGATCCTGTTAAGGAAAACAAATCTAAGGGGTGAGCAATTGCTCGTGAGGCCAAGAACACACATGCAAGCACATTGTCCAAGTAACAATCACAATTAACAAGTAAAACAATAATATGCGAGTAATTAATAATTCAAGTGAAATTTAAACAGAAACAATTCAAGGATATGGTAGCTCTCAGGAGCTAATTTCCACTTGCTTTGCCAATCTCATTCGTATACCTTCCCGTGATGACTCTCCGTCAACCGGGTCGGTATTTCCAATCCGTAGAACTCCACTTGCTTCTCATTTCCGTCCACCATACACCACACCGGGCCCGAACTTCGTTTATAAGGCGCTACTACACGAGTAGGCCAAGCAAGATCTCTCCAATAGATAAAGCTTATCATTTCATTCCTATGGCTCATCAAGGTTCCCGACCAAGCCCATGCCGGCTCGAGTCCCAAGGTCGGTCTATGAGTTTGGGCGTCCTCCATTTAACATTTATGAGTCGAGGAGATTCACTCCAATGATGTATGCAGCCATAGCATACCATTTTATTCATTCAATCATTCAATATCATTCAATCGTTCATTTCATTCAATCCATTCAATCCATTTGATTTCATTCATTTCATTTCAATCAATTCAATCACGATTCATTCAAATGAGAACGAGTGCGGTAAAATACACACTCGACTCCATTTTTAAAATCTCCAATCATTAATAGCAGTTAAGCATGTATCAAGTTCGCATACACTTGACACTCACCAAGTAAAATAAGGAAGTAAGCACAAGCAGTTGTTTAGGCATCTCCTGTGAGATCCTCTTGAAGGTTCCCTTGAGTGCCTGAACAATAATAATGAACTATTACACACTATCGTTTAAAACCCCTACTTATCGCGAAAGATTGCACTCGTGTACAATCTACGAAGATATCATGAAAATGAGCCTTAATTACTCGTAAATCAAGACTCAAAAGTGGGGTTTAATAATACAAGGAAAATATGATTTTCATCTTTAAAATCAAGTGTAAAATGGTCAAACGATACCGAAGGAAAATGGAGAGTTCTAAAAACTCAATTTCCTTTAAGTTCGGAAATTTCAGATTTGAGGTGCGATCTTTGAAAAATCACATTTCACTCTCTGTAGGTCCAAAATTAGAAAACTTGGTACCATTGGAAACTACTCCTAGAATACTAAAAGTTCCTAGAAGACATGTTTCCATGATTCCAAATGGAAAACATTCAAATTTTGGTTTCAAGTTGCTGTTTTGGACTACCAGGACAGTTCCGGGGTTGGTTTTTGGCCAAATTTGGAAATTCGGCAAAATTCACAGAATACGAACTAGCCTTTCAAATTTGGAGCTCAATTAGAGTTACAATCAAAGTTTAAAACACAACAAATGGAACAAGAATCGGTGTTTTGAGCGCCAAGATATAGCAGCTCAAAGTTGCTGAAATTTCCTCACTGAACAAAGGTTTTCCAGATTTGAAGCTTCAACTTTGGGACTTTAGTTGGGCATCGAAATGGACTCGGAATGGAACCAAATTTGGGTGTATTACACTATCATATATGGCCTATTCCTCTGTCGAATTTCATACAAAAATTCGTACAGATGGTCAGTTAACAAAGCCACTAAAGTTCGAAGAACTTCCAAGGCAAATCTGCCTTGTACTTCCATTTTCCGTGTTTCTAACTTTTGGCCAATGAAATCATTTCAAATCTGGTCCATTTATGAAGAAAAGTCTAAGAAACATCCAAAATATGTTTGGTAGGTGATTAACACCAAGAGTTTCAAAATAACAATTCAAGATAAGCCATTGGCTAGCCCAAAATTAGGGTTTTCTTTCTTTCAATCAGGTCTGTAATTTGGCCACAACTCACTCAATTCAACTTGGAATTGAGTGTAATTGGTGGTGTTGGAAACTAAATTCATAAGGCTACAATTTCTCAGAAGAAATCATTTTGAAATTCTGTCCATAACTAGTTCATATTCGAGAAACAAACCGCAGCTCATAACAGGTTTTCTAACACAGCAGAGAAACAGGACAGGTAACTTTGAAAAGTTGGTACGGCTTACTCAAGTTGAATCAGGGGATACATTTACACTGTTAGAAAACTGGAAGTATCTAGTTTCTAATGCCACAAATGGCACTCGATTTCGATATCGGAGCAAAGAGTTATGGTCATTGGAAATTCGCTGCCAGAGTAACTCTGGACACGTTTTCCAGCCATGAAGAAATTTCGAAATCCAAGCATTTACCCAACCAAATCAAGTGATTTTTGGTGAAAACTTTCCACACAACCTATACAACATATGGACATTAAAATCAAGACAATTTGACCACCAAAAATCGCACCACAAGGCGCGGCAAGGATAGGGCAGAACCGGCCCTTCTTCCATTTCAACTTCCATTACAGAAAATTATTTCTTTCGTGAAAAATTTTTCATGGCAACCAACTTATTTGTCAGGAAAACCATACCTTTTATGACACTTCGTCAGGCAAATATCCTTCAAAAGGCACTTCTACTTTAAACATATTTTTCTACTTTTACTAACGTCAATTCGTCAGGAAAAGTTTTCATTCTCCCGCCAGTTTTTTCCGTTTTGGACCAAAAAAGAATTTAGAAGGACATCAACTTATGACATAGAAACCGGGAAACAAAAAACACTTGTTCCATTTCTCTTTCTTTTGGAACAACAACGACAAAGAAGCACTTCTCCAAATCTGTAACTCATCTTCATCTCTTTCAACAAGAGAGACAACACGATGGTCTAAGGTGATGTAAACATCAAATAATCCTTCAATTTTGTCTTGAATCGGTTCCCTTTCTCCAAATCCCCCTTCAATTTTGTCTTTAATTGGTTCCTTTTTTATTTTTATAGTGGATATTTTATTCATCTCTCCCTTTCTCTGTTCGTCGAAACCTAGGAAGATGCTTCAGTTCTTGTGCCCGGGGATATAATCAGTATAAAACTTGGTGATTCTGGTTCTGGTAATGATTTGGGGATGCTAATTGGGGATGCTTCACTATACGATTGAGTTCAATTGGGGATGCTAATGATATGGCTGATTCTGGTAACGATTTTAGGGGTTTCAAGGCTGCTAGTAGGGAAGTTCAATGCGTAGGCGCATTATTTGCTTTGTTCGAATTTCTTTTGGACTATTGTGTGCTTTTAGGATTTCATTTGTGGGTGTGATGCTTTTTTTGTTGATCTTAATGTTGATTTTTGGTGAAAAGGATTCTTTTTCATGTTCGTTCACAAAAGCAATTTGGGAAGCTTTGATTGAACTTTGTGTTTCATTCTTTTTCATGTTCGCTCGTAGTTTCAGATTTTTGAACTTTGGCTCTGCTTGATCATGCTTTTTATGCCCATTCTTGTCAGATTTCTGATTTCTTGATTTTAGTTTGTTCTACCGTGTTAGTTTTTGTCAGTGTTTCAGAAAAGGAAAATTGACGTTTTAGTTTTGTTGTAAATTAACAATGGACCTTTTGTTTTGCTTTTGTGCTCATATTCTGTATTTGCAATTGTTGCTAAAAAAATTGATTCATGTAATTGGCAGTGATTTATGTATCTTTTTGGTGTTGTCTTGGTGAAATGCTTGTAATAAGCATAGCAATCACTTGTTTTCTCATTTTCTATGGTATATGTTCTAGATCTTCTTTCACATGTAGATATGGATTTGAGATAAGTTTCTGACTAAATGAGGAAAGGTGCAATTTTGAATGGTAAACCTGCGGCCAAATTGCCAATCACATGCCAAATTATGAACTAGAGCTATAAGTTGGCATTTGCAGATGGTAGTGGGTGTTTCTTCAGGAGTTGGGAGAATTTGATTCACAATTATATACCATTTTAAAAGGCTATGCTATGTGCTCAGTAATTAGACTAGAGAGGATGATGCTTGAGTGCTAGAGCTTAGTGCAAGAGGATACTGCTATATTATTCGTGATATAAGTAATTCTCAATCAACTTGCACAACGGTGATCTTTGTACTAGTTTTCTAGTTCGAGTAAGAATAAGGACTTTGTAATATCTGTTTTGCTTGCTTTCCTGGAATTTAAGTTTTCTCCTGATTCCCATGCGTATATCTATGGTTAATATACTGATATTGTTTGACATGTAACTGGTTTTGGTTTCCTCTTTTTATTTCCTCTAGATTTGTTTCTGGTCCTTTATTCCTATATATGAAGTTATGAGTCATGCCCTTTGGACTTTGCAGCAAATTTCACTGCTTCTGGAGAGCAGTAAATTGGAGATAAAATATCTCTTGGAATGGAAGGGAACCATGGTAAGCACGGCTACAGACTGATAGTTGGAGAGGAATTTCTGCACTCAGTTAACTTTCTAACTTTAATTCCTTTTGCAGGAGAAAGGAATTACTGACCTTGAATCAAGGAAAGGTACTTCGAAATTATCATTGAGCAGGTTTCAACCAAAACCCATTATCATTTTGCTTGAAACTATTGCCATTGCTTATTTGAGTGCCAGGGGTGGTTAGAACATTGAACTTGTGATATGATCACCCCTAAAACAACTTTGAATGCCAAGTATAATGTTCTTTCTACATGTTTTAGGAGGGATAGTTGGAATGGCTTTGTGATACATATTACATGATTATGCATGTATAACATGTATGAAAAGTATGTTTTGCTGTGCTTGTTTTCCGACTCGTACCCGTTTCAAACAAAAAATCCATTATTGCTTGAGATTTAAAGCTTTGATACTATAGACCATATTTCTTGGCATTTCTTTAGTTCAGAGTTTCTTCACTCTTGAGGAGTTGAATAAATGTATCATATGGTTTTGTTACCTGAAAGTTTAGCTGCATTTTCAGCTTAAGTTAGTTCCTATTGGTAAGATGACTACATTATCAATGGTGTCTCTTTTTTTGGGATTACAGGTGACTGCTTGCAAGCTATGGCGGCAAGTTGGAGAATCTTTTAATCCTCCAAAGTAAGGGCTGCTGTTCATGAATTGATTGTAATTGAATGACATCTTGTATCATGTTGCATGTTGTCTGTTGCTTAAAATTTTTTTTTTTTACTTAAGTTGATACTGGGCATGCTAAGTTTAATACAACTTTTAAGATAACTAGGAAACAAAATTCTAATTGAACTTTAACCTCCTCAGCAATTATCTAATTGTGTTATTCGTAATAAGTAAAATGTGTACTGAAAAATTTGATTCTTAAAGAAATGGGAAGAGGAATGGGGGACATAGTTGATTTGCATGTGTGTCAATTTCATATTCTTGCCTCTGTATTCTTTATGTTCATCAAAAGTTCCTTTAGGCTTGTTCATCGGAGCCATTGGAACACTGAAGGCTCTAAATTTTTGTGCCACTCTACTTCATTCTTATCTCCAAAATCGTTTGCTTGCCCCCTATCCTCAATTATTTATAAGCCTTGGGCAATAAATGGTGAGTGGTTGACCTCCTAAATATTTGTCTTACCACAAATGTTTGCTCTTTTACTGTGGCCATTCTATGATTGTTCTCCCAGTATATTTTCCCCCTGTTTGCAACAATAAAATCTTATTAAATGTCAGTAGGGTTAGACCAGAGGCTGTTGTCCCATTATTACTATCCTCAATTTCCTAAAAGTATTAAGAGATTATCCATAAATTCGGATTTTAAGATTACAGTTTACTTTTCCTAGTCTTTAAGTGCCTCTAAAGCTATTCTTATGTGCATTCCTTTGCTAACATATTATTTTTATGAATTTACTTGGAAGTGTTTGTACTCTTTCTCCTCAAGATTAGTATGCAAAGTTGCTCTATGTTGATTCTCCCAAGTTTATGTCCACGTCTCAACTTTCTGTACCTTTGAATTGCCTTCAACACCCATCTGTCTTTTGGCCCACATGGCACAGGTGAAAAACAAAATTTTTCAATATATGCATCCTAATAGGTAGAAGAGGTCATTCCTGAGTGAAAGTGTACGAGTTATTGTCCATGAATTGTTGACTATCTCTGTTGAAATTTGTGACGCCCCGAAAATTAGGAGATTGTTTGTAAATAAGATAATAAAGTGTATTTCTTTGGGTTTGATTTAAAACCTTATTTTGTTTTAAAAAGATTAGAAACCCTAAAATTTTAATCAAAAACCCTAGTTTACTTGTGATTAACTGGTTTCCTTCAATATCTCATCTTTTAATAGAAACTCTAAATTCAATTTATGGAATTGGAAAATCCCTCATGTTATTTTAAAAATGTCCCTTTATTTGGAAATTATTATTTTTATTAAGGCTTGCTACCCCATTTATTCCACGATAAGTGTAAATAAACCTAGAAAGTAGGTTTTCACCTTTGGTTTTAAGATCGGAGTAAAATTAGGGTTTTCGCAATTTTTCACCGGATGAATTTTCGGTACAAAGTAAGGATTAAATTTGGAGATTAAAAGTGACTTTTAAGTGAGAAATAATATGTGAGTAGTAGCAATGATATAAGGTTAGTGAATGGGAAGTAAAAACCCTAGTATGTGAGTTTTAAGAAAAATGGCGCCAACCGGCGGGTCCCGCGCACTACCGTTTGAACGCACCACTTGACCACCACTTTCTTACTGTATAAGCTCATTACTAATTGAGCAAAATATCTTCCCCCTCATGATGATAGCTTGACCGAATGTGTGGCTCAAATGCAAGGAAGAAAGAGAAAATTTTGTGGTTGAGATTAAACCAAGTGTTAGCCAAACTTGTGGCTAGAATTAATTCTTATCTTTCCATCTTCTTATAAGACAAACTTAGCTTCATTTCCTTCCATTTCTGCATCATTCCAGCCGACCAAGAGAGAGAGAGAAGTGAGAGCTTGAGCAACCACATTCCTTCTTGATTCACACCAACCAAGTGCTAAGCTAGAAATCTAAACCGATTGATTGCAAGTTTGGAAGCTTGGGAAGCTAAGGAACCAAGAAATTTCAAAGGAAGTGAACTATCACTCATCCAAGCCTTGTTTTTGAGGTATTCAATCTGATCATGGTCCTTGATCTTTTAAATCTTGTGTTAAGATGTTATTTAGCTTAAGTTTTGGCTTGATTTCAAGATGAGCAAGTGATTGTGATGATTATTGGATGAAATAATCAAATCAGGGTTTTGGGGATTTGCTGCCAAACTTGATGTGTGACTCACATATGTTGTAATTAAGGTTATATAAAGGGTTTTGGTAGTGATTAGAACAAGAAATTGAGGAAAGTTACATTAAAAACTGAAAATCCCAGAAATCTGGAAAATTGTTCTTCCATTCTGCCCGTTTTTGTAGCCCTATGTTAGAGGCCGAATTGGCCTTTGGTCAAAACATGAAAGTTGTTCAGAATGGTATTTTATAGGTTCCCACAAAATTTCAGCTCATTTGCAGCATCGTAGCTTGTGAAAAGACGAAAATACCCTCGCTGATCTAGGTCACTTTCCAGAATTCCGCGTGGACAGTTCAGTCCTTTTGATTGAGTTTATTCACTATGATCCGTTTAGATTTAGCCTTTCACCGAAACATGAAAGTTTTATTACCCTGTCTTAGCTTCGTAACGCCTCCAAGAACACCTTAATTGGATCTTGGTAGACTGAGATATGGTCATTTGAGTGAAATGCGGCTGATTAGCCGAATAGTTGAAACCAGGTTACATGAGTTGGGAATTTGATCAGGTTACATTGAAAATTTGACTGAGTGCTCTTCATGAAAGTTGTAGTGTTCTGAAGTAGCTTTAAAATTCCTCTAAGAACACCTGAATTGGATTTTTGTACACTGAGTTATGTTCATTACAGTGTTCTGCGTTTAAACAGCCGACGAATTGGTTTCTGGTTTAGTAATTCAAGAATTTGACCAAGTTACATTAGAAACTGGACTAAGTGACCTTCATGAATATTGTATCTCTGTATCTTAGCTTCGAAACGGCATAGGTTTCATTTTAATCCGATAAGCGTAGCCTCGGATATGTTATTTCCGCATTTGTACGTCAAATCTGTTTTGAACTAAATTGAATTTCTGCACTTGTACTTAATACGATTCTTGTTATTATGATATTGTGAGCCTATGGAACGGCTCTTGACATGAATTGCTGATATGTATAATGTTGGGTTGTGTTTGAAAAAAACAATGAAGCCTAAAAGGCTGGAAAATTAGGTAAACACAAAGGGCATGCTGCCCGAATTTTTACTCGAGGACTAGAAAACTAAATTAGCGACTTGAGTGAAGGTTAAGTATTTATCACTTGAACTAGTAAAGACCTTTGCTACTATATTTCTTGAGTGTTATATGTTAAGACTTGGTCGAGCTCGTACCTTGAGGAAAAGACTTAATGGCCAATGTAAACTTGTATTTCCATGTACTTTCAACTCAAGTGTTATTTCCAAGTATTTATGCTACAAAACCTTATGATTGAAAAGCGAGCAAGTGTTTCGCGAGTGTCTTTCAAATGAATTTCAATTGGTCGATTTTTAATGAATGGAATGTTAACGTTTCGAATTCGACTCGTGTTTCAAAGTTCTCAAACTGGAATTTTTATCGCAGATCTGGACTCCAAGCCTGGAGTGTAATTGAACGTGAATACTTGAAGCACTACATCTTTTGGTGAGTGCTTTCAAATACTGAATTGAACTTGATACTTGTACTTGATACGTGCCAATATGATTACATGTCACATGCGTGAATTGTTAGGGCAAGAGTGTACTTTATCGCACTTGCCCTTACATGATATACACTTGTTTATTGTTGCAATTGACTTGACATACTTGTTATGATGCGCGCACTTCCTGGAATTCCAGAAACCCTGCGGCAAGTTACTTGAGTCGAGCCGGCAAGGGCTTGGTCGATTGGGTAACGAACCCTGGGTCTCTTGTTTTGTCGAGTGGAGTGATATCTCCTCGGCTAAACGGTATACTCGAGTATTACCACACGTGTTTATTGAGGATTTTGGGCCCAGTAGGGGGTGAACGGTGGACGGAGAGTCGTGTAAGTGGTGTTCTACTGGATTGGTTACCTACTTGAAAGTTGACGGAGTGTCAACTGTTACTTGATCAAGCTCTGGAGATGCAATGGAAATTTGGCTCCTGAGAGCCTTCCGTATCCTTATACTTGAAAGTGATTATTGCTTATTGGATTGCTGTTCCTTTTGAAAATCGAAAAAGCACTTTATACGTGCTCATTTGGAAATTTGCTACTTGAAATATTATTGTCCACTCTTATGAGTTTTGATGCCGTTAACTTGCTACATGGATATTCATACTTTTAAAATGGGCAATTTGTTATTTGAAACCTCACTGGGCTTTTAGCTCATTCCACGCTATTTGTTTTCCTTGCAGGAATACGAGTGAGGCGTGAGTCGTGAACAGACTAGCGTAGTCTAGTTGCTCTTGAAATTGTTTTGACTTTTGACTTGTACTCGCGCTATTCCTCGAATGGAACATGTTGTACTTGGATTGTATACATTTTGAACTAGTTTGGTGTATTGAGGCTTTGTACCTCGATTTCTATCAATGTAAATTATAAGCTTGAATTGTGAATGTTATTTATGGTTCATGGATGTGTGTACATGACTCGATTGAGATAGTGAGTGAGTCCTGGCGAGAGCTGGGCAGGCGGTCTGCCGAACCCTTTGGTACGCCTTAGGTGGAGGTGGGGTCGTCACAGATGGTATCAGAGCTCCTATTGAGCTCGTGCCGGGAGAAGGTTCTCGGACTGTGGGGATTGACTTGTTAAGTGTGGAATGATTGTCTATTGTTGGAGATTTTAGATATGTATGCTGGGTAGGAATCTCTAATACGGGTGATTTACTCTTGGGACCGGCCGGCTCGAGTTGTGAATTACCTTATTGTGGATTCTTGTCCCCGAATACCAAAGAGTGACACCTTCACGATAAGCTGAGATCTCACGTAATATTGAGATAAATTTGGATTGTGAAAGCAAAGGCACGGGGAATGTGAATAGTATGGACGTGAAATATATTGAAGATATTCATGGGATTTG